CGCCACATCGCTCGGCCGACGTTCAAGTGCTTCTGAATGGATGCCCGTCAGATAATGTCTCTGTGACTCACGGCAGACTAAATCCAGAGTGTCCCCTCCTCCGTAGGAGACCTTCTGGAGCACAGGACTAACACGCTAAGGCAAGCTGCTCACCGTATATAGCCCACCATGTGGACGGGCCGATCTCAAGCTTTCCTGCCAAAGGGGGGAGCCAGCCAGCATGCGCCCGAATGTCAGGAGATCATCTGGTGTGAAAGTCATCCAACTCAGACAAGAAGAGTGACACCCAAAGAACCGGTTCTATATTGTGAAAGATACGGAGCCACCCTGGCACCAAGGGGCCACGGCTAACAAGTTTAAACAGTGAATCTGTTACAGATTAATTGGTTTAGCTGCCAGAGATGAATCTGAAACGAAGTCCCGATATTTTTAAAATGTCTCAAAAAGCCTGGACCTGCGGGTATAAAAAAGTTTTGGGGGGCTGTCTGGGGTGGCTCAATTGGTTAAGTGTCTGCCTTCAGCTCGGGTCATGATCTCCGGATCCTGGGATCCAGACCAGCATCAGCTCCTTGCTCAGCATACAGTCTGCTTCTCCCTCCCCCTGTACCCTTTCCCTGCTGTGCACTCACTCGCATAAATAAATAAAATCTTTAAAAAAAAAAAAAAGTTTTTTGCATCCTACAATTTACTCCCTTCTTTAATATTTAAAAACAAAGCATATCACTTGGGTTTTCATTTTCATTTAAGTATACCCTAATCTAGCAGTAGTCACTCAAAATCTTTCCATGTGAATTTGGTAAGTAAGCTATCTCAAGGCCTATAGGACGTCTCTCACCAGTTAAAAGGAATTCTCATCTTCTTTCTTCTACCTCCTTCAGGAATTACAATGATTCCCTTTTATGCTTTGGGATGGTTTGTTGCCTCGATCCCTTAAACTCTGGTAGGTGGGCTTACGACCCAATCAGCACCAAGTTTTGCTCTGACCCCATCTATGTCCAACCTGGTGCAGGGGAAGAGGAGGAGGGGAGGCAGAAGCTCACCAGAAATCCACTTTTGCTGCTGGCCCAGGCTCTGACAGCTCCATGCTCTCGGCCCCAAACTTCCCTCCCACCCCATCCTTGACAGTGTCTGATCCCACCGCCAGCCTGTGCGGGACATTCAGACTCCATTCTTCTATTACCCATTCCTTTCCTTCCTTTCATTCCATCACTACTCGCAGACTCATCTGCCTGCAATACCCATTTTCAGAAGAGGCTGCTCCTGGATCCAAAGGTCTAGCCACTGGCTCTTCAAATTAATCTAGACAGGGACACCTGGGTGGCTCAGTCGGTGAAGCATCTGCCTTTGGCTCAGGTCATGATCCTGGGGGTACTGGGATCAAACCCCAAATCAGGCTCCCTGCTCTGTGGGGAGCCTGCTTCTCCCTCTCCCGCTGCCTGCCACTCCCCCGGCCTATGCTCTCTTTCTCTCTGTCAAATAAATAAAATCCTTAAAAAATTAATCTAGACAGACCCCAGCTTGCCTTATTATCCTTATTTTCCTCCTCCCCCGCCCCTGAAAAACCCTAGCTATAATCCATAACTTTCAAGTACTGTAATGAAAGCAGCATAACAGAGCTCTTGATAGCCCACTAACGGTAGGTACAATTTTGCCTCTTTGGATTCAGCTGTTTTCTTATATATAAAACATGATGGTTACGAGGAGGCCTTTACAGAAGAAGAAAACTAACACTGACCGAACACTTAGCATGGACGAGCGGACACTCTACAAATAAGCTAAGCAGCGCTCTTAATGCCCACCAGGGAGGGCAGATACTGTCACTCCTGTTTTCTAGAAGGCTGAAGGTCGGGAAAGTCAGGGGAACTTGCCCAAAGCTGCCCGATCTAAGCCGAGGAGCCAGGCCCAGCCTCTGCCACATCTGCAGCCTCCCTGGTCCTTTCCAGCGCCATCATGCTCTCCTCTGTCCCACCAAGGCCTGGGCCCTAACAGGTCCCAAGGGGTCCCTAGTCACTGTGGTGAAGGTCATCTTCACCAGGGGACGTGGGGATCTCAGCCGACAGGAAGAGGCAAGATGAAACCTGGAAATGTGCACGTCACCTGTGAACATGATTAAAGGCCGTAGAGACACAGAAAACCTCGATTCCCTCCACAGCTCAGAGTCATGGAGCAGCAACAGAAAAATTCTGTGGCAGATGAAGTTCCTCCCCAACATGCAGGGAGAGGCAGCCCTTGGGGTCCCGCTGCTGTAGGCAGAGTCAGCTGCCACCACGGATGCCGGGGCACGGCCCTCTAAACACAGCCCAGATCAAACCACGCTTCAAAGTTAAAAAAGGCTTGTTGGATTCTGTTCCAAACTCCAGCTTCTCTGTCCCGTTCTGCAGCCTATGTCCTCACTGCCTTTCATACATGGGGCTAGGGCTCAATGCTAACATCCCCTGTATCACCGTGACTTTTTAAAAATTGTATTTATTCACTTGAGAAAGTGAGAGAGAGGAGGAGAGAGAGAGAGAGCACAAGTTGGGGGTGCAGAGGGAGAGGGAGAAGCAGGCTCCCCATTAAGCAGGAAGCATGACATAGGACTCAATGCCAGGAATCTGGGATCATGATCTGAGCCAAAGGCAGACACTTAACCAACTGAGCCACCCAGGTGCCCCTCCACCCTGACTTTTATTTTATTTTATTTTTTTTTTTTTAAAGATTTTATTTATTTATTTGACAGAGAGATCACAAGCAGGCAGAGAGGCAGGCAGAGAGAGAGGAGGAAGCAGGCTCCCTGCCGAGCAGAGAGCCCGATGCGGGGCTCGATCCCAGGACTCTGAGATCATGACCTGAGCCGAAGGCAGCGGCTTAACCCACTGAGCCACCCAGGCGCCCCTCCACCCTGACTTTTAAAAGGAAATGTCAGAAGCAGTAACTTAGCAAGAACCTCTGTGCCGCTGCTTTAGGAAGGTGTAGCTTGGAATCACACGGTGTGGGTAGTCATGAGATGCAGCAAAACCAAAAAGTGCAGATTCCTCTCATTTTAATATCCAGGTAAGGTTTATGGGAAGCGGGAGAGGGTAAAAATCTTGATGAGAGATGGAGGCAGGGGGTGGGGGGATCAGGATGTGGACTGGCAAATGGCGCTTACTTGTTTTCAAAGTAGGAACCAAACAACAATATTTTATTCTGGCAATCAGTTCCTCTGACCGTGCCATATAAGCAGGCTTTTCATGAATATGTAATGAAATGAATTTAAGGGCTTCTTTCTGCCATAAGCAGTCCATACGGCCATGCTAGCTATATAAACGCATCTATAACTACCAAGCTCTCTTGAATTCGATATTTTAAGGTCTTTTTTTAGAAATGCAAAGCAATAAGACCTACAAGTTCTGAAAACCAGAACTAAGTCCATTTCTATAAGCCAAGAGAAAAATCAGGAAGCCTCTCTACCAGGGAGTGGAATTATAGATTTTAATTTTCTTTCCGCTTCTCAGTAATTTTTAAACTATTCCACAGAGGACAAACATGCTTATTTTCCCAAGTCTCAGAATGACTTTATGCGAAGCTGGAGCTTAAAGAGCATACTGTAAGTGCTTCCACAATTTTTCATACAATACGAATTAGGCATTTACAGTTACTGCTAAATTATAAATATCTTAAATCTGCGCTTGGCAAATATTCTTTTCACAGCAATGGCAATGCTACTGTGAGACACCAAGTCCTCCTCCAGAAGAAAAGTAATCTCAAAAACCTCACACACTTCTATTAGAAAAACTGAATTCTCCTCCTTCACGGTTAGTGATTAGCTGAGGTAAAATATTAAGCCATATTTACCTTCTAAATAAGGCATAAAACCAACTTTTCTTGGCAATAATTCAGTCATTCTATTTTTACATTTTGGCATGTATTAGACTGACATATCTACTATATATTTAAAAAGCTTCAAATGAATGAATCCAAGCAATTGTCTAAAGGAAAGCAAAGAACTAAAACTATAAATAACAAAAAGGTACTCATCAGGCCAAGGTTCATTTGAAAGGGCACCTCTCCTGCTCATGGCCATCAGCCTGGGGAGCAGGGCAGGATGGAAAAGAAGAAATATTCTTTATATGTGCTGAAAGTTAGAAATACTGAAAACTGATTCTGCCCTGGGTAGGGGAAAGTGAGAGACTACAACACAGAGAGTAGCCCAGGAGTCCCAGCACCCAAGACACCCCAGCTGCTTCATCTTCTCAACCCCTCACGTTTTATACTAAAGAGATTCAGAACGGAAGGAGGGCAGAGCCGAAGCACTAAAATCTTTCTAAAAAGGGTCCTTAACTTTCCCCATGCCATCACAACCATTCAGCCCTAATGAGGGAAATACGTTGCATTTCACTTTCATGACGACAAGAACATGGCTGACGGTGTGCCCAAGTTCTACACCACTGTGGCACTCAACCTCTGATACCACCTGAATGCTCTTGGCTTGTTCTTGGCCTACCCAAAACTCTGTGGCCATGTTATTCTGGCAAGTTCCTAGCCTCGCCTTTTCCTAGGTGAAATCTCAGAGTCTCTTTCCAAAGCTAGGGAGGTGTTCTAAGTATCAGGTATACCACAGAGGAAATCCTTCCTTACGGAATGTTTGTTCGACAACTCTCTTCTCTGCTGGAACATAAGCCCCTTGGGAGCAGGGACTCTATGCCTCTCCTTTCCCGCTCACAGAATCCTCTGGGCTGACTGTAGGGCCTAGCACTGGGTCAAAACTCAGTAGGATTCCTGCAGTGAGCCTCTGGGTGACTAGAGGGAGACACCCCACCAACACCACCCACTTTGTGCTTCTGCTCTGTATTTTGGCCCTTACCCCCATCTATTACCCCACTGGCCAACTTTGTGTGTTGAGCACATTTTGGCTTACAAAGTGCCCTTGCAAGCAAGTATCGGCCAATGACTGATGTTGACCAACATAGCACTCGATGGGGAACCTAGAGAAATACAGAGAAAATGCACACGGCAGGCAGGCCAGCCCCTCCACTTACCGGCACCTCCACAGACTGCATGGAGAGGTCGCATGGAGGCTTCAGGGCTTTGGGCCTCGTGGCGTACCAGAAGGTGGTGAGGGCGGCAAAAGCTCCAAAGCCCATGAGCGTGTTGGTCGTCAGCGTGCGAACGTACTGTCGGAAGTCAGCCAGCTCTGGCATTCGAAAATACCGGAACAGCTCGTGGGCTTGCATCGTCCCGAGATGGTCGCTCCCTAAGCTGAATTCTGTCAATAGAGAAGAATGTCACATTCCTTCCAGAAAGGCAAGACCTGTGTCCCAAACTCCTAAAGGCCAACCATCCAACTTGATTCCTGACTGGTCAAGGCACTGAACCCACAGTCTAACGGTCCGGCTCTTTCCTTGGCTGTCAAGTTTCACGTCTCTAAAAACCCTTTAGAAATTCATTGTACGTTTGTACGTGTAGGGGCGCCTGGGTGGCTCCGTGGGTTAAAGCCTCTGCCTTCGGCTCGGGTCATGGTCTCAGCGTCCCGGGATCGAGCCCCGTGTCGGGCTCTCTGCTCAGTGGCGAGCCTCCTTCCTCCTGCCTACCTCTCTGCCTACTTGTGGTCTCTGTCTGTCAAATAAAAAAATCAAAAATCTTAAAAAAAAAAAAAAAAAAAGAAGAAGTTCATTGTATGTGTATCAGTTTGTGTCAAGCTTCCATTCCCCATGTTAAAAGGTTTCGTTCAGGAAGAATTCTTGCCACAACATGCTCCAGTGGCGTAAGTCACCATCTCCTTCCCTGATACCGTCTCTGTTTCCTTCCACCCTATCAAATATACTCAGCTCTCATTATCATGGCTAATGAGAAGAAAGGGGAAGAAGCACAAATAAGCCCACACCACCTAACGGCCATCCGCTCCCGCTTCTGCCCACGCATCTCAGAACGAGCTCCCAATGGATACAGCACACCAACCTAAATTTCAACATGCCTCTTGCCTTCCCCATACTCTGTACCACAAAAACAGCAACACAAATGCCAGGGAACCAGAGTTCACTATTCGGATCGAATAATTTCTTTTATATTCCTTGATTATATTATAATGCTAAAAGGGTGTACATGAAGTTCAAACCAACCACCAAACATCTAGAGAGAGATTGTAGCGTAGTAGCTGAGAAGAAGTGTAAGAAGGGTATTTAAGATCCCAGATTCAAGAGCCAAATCCTGTCTTTCCAGCTTATTAGCTAGAGGACTGGGGACACATTACTTCACCTCCCCGAGTCTCGTAGCCCTAAGAATAAACGGAGGCTGAAAACAGGAGTGATCTCGTGGGGTTTTTATAAGGACTAAATGCACGGGGCATCAGAACTGACTCAATACGTTCCAGGCACTATCATTATTTCACCTACCAAGACTCTGTGATTGTCCTGTGTGTAGAACAGGAAGGGACAGAGTTAATTAAAAACAAGGCTAGACCACAAAGAGTTCACCAACAAAATTAAGAGGCCAAAAACGCACAGAAGAAAACTAGACAAAAAGCCTCACGCTGGAGGTTACAGACAACTCATACATATACCAATATAAAAAGTGTGCGGTACAGATAATAAGTAAGAGTAATTCTAAGGAGAAAACTATTGATGAAAAGGTGCTCTACAGCACGTGTGGCAGTAAAGGGGAGGACACTGTGGTAAATGCTGACAGCTTTTCTTGAACACCGCCTGCCGATTCACAGAGTAGGAACATTTTAGCTATCATTCAGGAGGTATCTATGAGCCACTTACAGTGTGTTCTTTTAAAGAGCTAGGTCACAAAGCTGAAGATAATTTTTTTTCAAATACAGACATGTTTACGTTTCCAATCTATACTACTGTAATTATTTTTTTTTTATGGAGTGGCAGGGGGCCCATTGTTTTCACCGGCCACCAGTCCTGTAGTATATCTGGTCAGCTTGGGCAGACATGTGCTACAACAGCTCTGTGTAGGTGTGTGTACACACACACACACACACACACACACACACACACAGGAAATTTCCAGGTTTTACATAACAATTGAGAAGGAACAGATAAGCAAGATCTCTTTGGGTCACAATGGTGGAGAGAGAGAGAGCTCTAGGACTTACAAAACCACTCACCATCTGTGCCACCCAGGGCTGACTGCTAGGTGACAAGCCACCACAGAGCAGAAGAAGTGGCGAGGGCTGGGGGTGGGAGGGGGCTGGAGGAGCTCAGCCGCCGCTTACCCAACCTGCCAAGGTCTCTCAGGGCATCAGTCACATGCTGACTCGCGCACTGCTGCCCACTGGGCTAAAGGTAACTAGCAGACAAAATTCATACTTGACTTCCCAGGAGGAGAGAGGGTGGAAGATGGGCCAATGAGCAGCTGGGAGCAGAGTCACCCCACTGCTCCACCCATGGGCAGGGACGGGCATCAGTGTCACTGCCAGTGCCAGATCTGAAGACAGACACTGTTTTCTTTCTGCTCAGCTTCCCCATGAGAAGAGACAATGGACATATTAAAAAAAAAAAACAAACAGCAAAATACACGATCAGATGTTGGGTGGTTATGTCGAACCAACATGAGACAGACCAAGAAAGAAACAGATTGTCTGTAGGACACTCCCAGCAGATTTATTCTAGATGAATGCATAGGAACTGAGTTACTCTGGTTGGTGCCCATCACGGAGCATCCGGCGTATGCCAGGCCCGGTGCCCGTAGTGGGGAGGACGGTGCTGGTGACCCGGTGCAGGTTCTCCATGGGCTCACCAGCTGGTGGGGAAGGTGCAAAATTAAGCCAGCAATGTCTGCAAAGTGTGAGAAGCGTTCCCGTGGGTGAAGCTGGAGACGAGGCAAGGACTCTGTGAGGAAGAGACCGTGAGGATAAGCAAATCAAGTCTGGCCCCTGTGGTCAGGTTGCAAAAACAGCAGTGCTACCCTACAGACGCAAAGCAACCAGACGTGTACAATGTGCAGACGTGCCTTTCCCTGCAATCGTTCCACCTTCCAGCCATCTTCATACCCACGGCGCCCCAGATCTGAACAGGACTTTCCCACCCACCCCCCACACACCCCTCTGCCCTTGTCTCTTCTCTCCCATAGGTCCCTAAGATGATTTCCATAAAACCTAGACTGCGTGAATTCGCAGGGGCTGTTCAACAGAATCCCATCCCTGTGTGAGAATAAAAAATAATTCCCCCGTGAACAAATGCTGTTATAAGCTGGTGATTTTTTTTTTTTTTTCTATTTTAAGCATCAGCAGTAGCCAAGCTGTAGACAGCATTAGACTAAGAAAGGGGAAAAAAAGTCTCTTTCTAGAGATAAGAAATAAATTAAGATACTAAAAAAACTAAGAAAGAACTTGAAAAAAACAAAAACTTCAGAAAATTACTGATTTAGGGGCACCTGGGTGACTCAGTGGGTTGGGCCTCTGCCTTCGGCTCAGGTCATGATCTCAGGGTCCTGGGATTGAGGCCAGCATCGGGCTCTCTGCTCAGCGGGGAGCCTGTTTCCATTCCTCTCTCTCTGCCTGCCTCTCTGCCTACTTGTGATCTCTGTCAAATAAATAAAATAAAAATCTTTAAAAAAAATAAAGAAAATTACTGATTTAGTAGCACCCGGGCTAGACCATTTAATCAGATGAGTCTGTAACTCTAAGGGTTTAAATCCAGCTGCATTCTTATCTTTAACGGGTAATGAGGAGGTTTAGCAGTTTAATTCATGCCTCTCAGAGGAAAGCCAGGCGACAAGCTACAAACCAGCTTCACTGAACCCACTGGCTAATGCTGTACATAGGAAAACTATAGTCTTTCCAGTAAAAAACCAAAGCAAATCCTTGTTTTAGATCCACATGAAGAACAACTCCTGTAAAGCATTATAAATCTCCCTTCTACGGAACTGCTATGAAGGAAAAGGTACTTGGGGTGTTTAAAAATGAAGGCAGACCCACATCCAAAGAAAAGCGGCCACAATAAATAGCCTTTTAATGCTGCAGGTGAATATAAACACCACGCTTTAAGACAGTCCTCCAACAGGTCTTGAGGAAGAAGAATCAAGACTCGTCCTTGTCAACAAATGATTAAAAACCAGACAGATTTTATTCTTATTCCAATGGTGTTCCAGCTGGAATATTTTTAAAATTCTTTCAAAAGCAAATTTCCACATCATCCTCTCCATACGTTTGCAGGCCTGGCAAATAACAATGCTGCTGTTTGCGAAGAATAATGATTCAATTAGCTTAAAGGCTTTCGCAGTCAGTGTTTCTCCATCAAGAACGCACAAGCCTACAGGCAAGCGAGCTTCTCCTTCCCCGGCAATGCTCTTGCGGCTCCTTCCTCCCCACGCCTACGAAAGGGGGTTTGCTCACTCGGGTCCTGGAGTCTAAAACCACAGGAATGGGGGCACCTGGGTGGCTCAGTCAGTTAAATGTCTGCCTTCAGCTCACGTCATGATCTCGGGGTCCTGGGATCGAGCCCTGCATCGGGTACTCTGCTCAGCAGGGAGCCTGCTTCCCTCCCCCCACCCCCCCACCCCCCACCGACCTGCCTGCCTCTCTGCCTACTTGTGATCTCTGTCTGTCAAATAAATAAAATCTTAAAAACAAACAAACAAACAAACCACAGAATGGACAGTGAACGTAAGAACAGTGGAAGTGAAGCTTTCACACTCTGTATCGCACTGTCTCGCAATACAAAATGATTATAAGGAAGCTGAGGCTGGAGATTTATGGGGCTTCCCCAAGACACCGACCTAGCTCTCAAATAGTGCTTTTTCCTGGACGTGAACCATTCCTACCCTCTGCCCCTGGTTCTCAGCAGCGGGAACATGCGCGTAGCCCTCTGCGCGGGGCGGGGGGGGGGCGGTGTGCAACTTGCAAGTCTCCTGCCACCCACCCCGGCTCAGGAACCGTGAGGGCAGGTGCTCTCTAAAGGTCCTTCTGGCACTCGCTTTCCACAACAGGAGCAGAGCCTAGCATCTGAACTCCATGTGAACGCTCCACGTCTTACATAACCGCCCGCATTTGCCCCATCATCCTGCACTCTGAACATAAGGGCCCAAGGCCACCTGGACACAAAGTCTCACCTCTTACCATTTTGTTTACACCAGGAAAAAGGGATATGGGGCAAAGGTGACTCACAAGGGCATCATTCTCTAAGGACACAGGGGCACACACGTATGCGTACGCACACGCACGCACGCACACACAGCTCCTATGATTGTGTAAATGTATACTTACATCAGCATTTTATTTTCTTCCTGTCATTTGCAAACCAAAAAAAAAAAAAC